GCGCAGCAGCCCCAGCAGCCACGCCTTGTACTCCGCGGTGCGGCTGCGGGTGTCGCCGATGTACAGCTGCCACACGCGCGCCGCCTCCCCGTCCGCGTACTGGTCCGGGAGCCCCTCGGCTGCCACCCCCAGCGAGCGGGTCCGGTACACGCTGTCCACCATCCTGCGCCGCGCGTGGCCAGCCTCCGCCCGCTCCGCATTTATAGCGCGGGCGCTGCCCGCAGCCGGGCGGCCCCACCTGGCCAATGGCAGGTGAGCGCGGGGACACGCCCCTGCTGGGCTCGGGGCCGCGGGGAGGGCGCTGCCTCGCGATCCCGCACGGCGCCCGCTCCGCCAGCCTGAGAACCCAGCCCGCTGTGCAAGCCCACAGCGGGAGAGGACCCTCTGGCCCTCCAGCCCTCTGCCCACTTGGCCTGGGTCTCCAGGAGGACGCAGGAGGGCCAGGAGAGGGGAGAGCGGTGAGATTGCCCACTCCACCTCCACTCCATCTGGAAAAACGGTAAAATCAACAGAGAACGTGAAGTCAGACAGTGGAATTAAACCCCCACATTTTAATAAAACAAAGAACATTATTTTAAAAAGAAATCCACAGAGAAAGCCAGGAGCGGTGGGTCACACCTGTAATCCCAGCACTTTGGGAGGCAGAGACTGGAGAATTGCCTGAGCCCACGGGTTCCAGAACAGCATGGGCAAGTTGGCAAGACCTCGTCTCTACAGAATATCAACAACAACAAAAAAATTAGCCGGGTGTGGTGACGCATGCCTGTAGTTCCAGCTACTTGAAAGGCTGAAGTGAAAGGATCACCTGAGCCCAGCAGGTCGAGGCTGCCGTGGTGGCGGTGAGCATGCCACTGCACTCCAGCCTAGGCAAGAGTGAGACTCTGACTCAAAAAAAAAAAAAAAAAAAAAAAAAATCTATCGAGAGCTGAGTGCCCAGGCAGGCAGGACTGCCCCATCCCCAGTGAAGGAATGCCCTGGCATATCTAAAGGAATGGCCCCTTGAAGGGGTCTAAAGGGGTCTTGTCAGTCAGGGAAGGTGGAGCATGGGGAGTCTCTGGAGATGACGCTGTTCTGTCCATCCAAGCCCAGGGGCTGAACCCTGGCTTGAGGAGTTATCCACAGCCACTGGAAGCAGGTGTGCTTCATCAGGCTTTTCTCTGAGCCCCCTAAGACCGAGCCTGGTCCTTCCTTTCAATTCCTGGCCCACTGAGCACTTTTTTTTTGAAATCAGTTTCATTCTGTCCCCTAGGCTGGAGTACAGTGGCATGCTCATGGCCACTGTAGCCTCAACCTGTTGGGCTCAGGTGATCCTTTCACTTCAGCCTTCCAAGTAGCTGGAACTACAGGCGTGCGCCACCACACCTGGCTAATATTTGGATTAATTGTCCAGGCGAGTCTCAAAGCCCTGGGCTCAGGCAATCCTCTTGCCTCTGCCTCCCAAAGTGTTGGGATTACAGGCGTGAGCCACCGTGCCTGGCTCACTGAGAACTCTTCTAAGTGCTTTCCACGAAAGTGCCCACAGGGATAAAAGTCCAGGATCGAGAATGGAGGTACCTGGTGCCCTTGCTATTAATATGGCTTATGGTCATTTTCTAAATGGTTGTTTGGTTAGTGCACATCAATGCTTCCTCCCCAGAGGAAAAGTTTCCCCAGATTTCTCTCCCAAGGACAAGACCCTGGACTGAGGTAGATTCCGGTAGATGCCACCCAGCGAAGGAGATCAGCCTTCCTGCCTCTTTGTTCTTCTGGCTTCAGAAACAGTGAGTTACGGAATTTAGAACAAAGTAGCCTCCCTTCCTTTAACCTTTTTTTTTTGAGTTGGAGTCTCTGTCACCCAGGCTGTAGTGCAGTGGCACGATCCTGGCCACCACAGCCTCGACCTGCTGGGCTCCAGTAATCCTTCCACCTCAGCCTTCCAAGTAGCCGGAACTACAGGTGCACGCTACCACACCTGGCTAATTTTTTATTTATTGTAGAGACGAGGTCTCACCATGTTATCCAGGCTGGTCTCAAACCCACGAGCTCAGGCAATCCTCTCACCTCGGCCTCCCAAAGTGCTGGAATTATAGGCTTGAGCCACCACACCCAGCCCCCCTAACCTTTTTATTGTCTATAGAATCTTGGAGCTGGAAGAACCCCCAAAATTGTGTAATCATTTTTAACCTCTTATTATTATTATTATTATTTTTGAGTCAGAGTCTCACTCTGTCGCCCAGACTGGAGTGCAGTGGCCGCTCCTGGCCATGGCAACCTCGACCTGCTGGGCTCCGGCGATCCTTCTGCCTCAGCCTTCCAAGTAGCTGAAACTACAGCCGCGCGCTACCACGCCCGGCTAATTTTTTTGATTTATTGTAGAGATACGGTCTTATCAAGTTGCCCATGCTATTCTCAAACCAG